AGGAGTCGTTGAGGTAAAGAATTGCATAGCACTTATTATCGCTTGGTAACATATATTAATTATGCTCCTATGTAGCAAATATCAACCAACTAAGGAATAGAAGTAAGGACGGTGAACATATAAAATAATATCTCGAAAGTAGTAGCTTTGTTCATGCTTTGACTATGTCTTCGTTCCTTCTCTGCTAAAAGATAAGGAGACTAAAAATATTTATCAAGGAAAAGTCGATTCAATATTCAGCTGTGTCGATATTCAGAGCAAGCTGACTATTTATCAAAATTATGCTACTAAAAATAGTGAGTTCATGTTGAAAATTAATTGTCAGATATTGGCTAAGAATGAAGAACTGGACAAGAGGCAAAACTACTGCAGACTCATCTGTCTGCCGATTATGGCATACAAGCTTTAATAATACAAAAATATGGAGATACGTGAAATCTACAGATTAGGAAAAAATTTTAAACTAGCCTATGAAACTCTAAAGACAGTAAGTCGAGTGATAGACTTAAGAATACCGATGAGGTTGAGCTATTCTAAATCGTTTCATCTAAAGCTGATCACAACTAGACGGGAGTCGAGTATTGTGAAATAAATAAGATACGGTAGCTCGAGTCAAAATATTTTTCAATTTCTAATGAAATATGAAAGCTATTATTTTATTTTCCTCAAACCAACATCGAAAGAGAGAGAGCACAGACTAGCATGAGAAATAACCTACTAAATCTTATATGTTTCTTGGAATTCATTTTTTCTACAACTATAGATATAAATATAAATATAAATATATGTATAGCATGTATAGATTACTCGATGTAAGTTTAGAGTCGTTAAAATAATTTGCTTATGCTATGAAGATGCCTGTCATGTGTCATAAAAGACAAATTCACTGCTATTTTCACCCAAACTAAAGGAGCATGTCTCGGGAATTGTTTCCATTGAAGACTCCTAGACTGAGATGACTCTGGCGTACTTTTCTGGTGATTTTGATCCACGAATCACTTCCTTACACACCCTTACATGAAATGAGAGTCAACCTAAATATTAATATTATGTAAATGCAATTTAACAGTAAATATGATATGGAAGTTAATTCTAGAACAACCTCCAATTCTGAGCATTACTATAAATTTTTCATCCTACAGATTATAAGTTCCCTTTTTAAAGGTTAAAACCTTATGCAGAACTTACCCAAATAAGTCTCATATCATATGTAGATAAAAGGTATAATATTGTCAAAAGAACTATTTCTGACATCAATTATGCCATCTCTTCTTTATATAAAACTCCAATACCAAAGTTTGGCCACTTTTCCCATTGGGGTGCTATTTTCAAAGACACATCCGTTCATTGATACCAACAAACTTAGAAGAATGATATTAAGGCATTGGATACCGTATATATTTCAAGCCGACTTACATTTTGACAAATAATTTCTTTATTTGCGAGGATCATGAAGTTAAACGCTTGATTTTGGCTACGAAATTAAATATTGTGGATAATTAAGTGTCCATGAAATTTAATTACCTGATAATAGAAGAGCATGGATTCTTGAATAGATGCTACATGTATTTCCGAAGGTAGGCTTTTCGGAGAGAAATCGCTGTAGTACTACTGCACAAAGGGACGTATTCTCCCACTACAATTTGTTTTTAGACTAGGTTTTTTCTTCATTCGTCAGTAAGTTTGCTGATTTCTCCGTACTCTCTTGTCCAGCTAAACTTTGCTTAAGGGTTCGACAACAACCTTAACAGGACTGAAGTAGTTGCTGGGGGAGAAATTGAAGAATATCATTTGTTCAGACCAGCGGGCTAAAGTGTTAAAAGATTCATACTATTCGCCGACTGTTAAGCTACTTGACTTTCTATTGAATGAGTCAGATGAAGTGTTTGGTAGGTCGAGCTTCTGGCGAGAAATTAAAGTGAGCTAAATACTTTGTAAGATTAACAACTCTCGAAATACTCACCCTTTTCTTTGATGGAAGCCATAGTAACTAGACCTCATGGGCCCAAGCTATGCCTCAAACTGATTTAATTAGTCCAGACACTGCTCTAAAGAGTATGATTCTCATTTATCATATCTGCCCTATTGGTCATATGTGTAGTTAAAAATAATGTGCTGATAAAAGTGTAAGATTTGTATTTTACCCTTGTTGTCGTGTGATTTAGTACTTCCTTTAAAGTAATATAGTAGTATAAACAGAACTTAAACACTTCTCCTTTGTTATCAAGTATCCGGTATCGCAATCTTTTGATGTTATCGTGAGTGATAATGACCCGTCAATGAAAGTCTAGCCAACCTAGATCTCCCAAAGTGATGAAGGAACTCTTGGTAGAGATTTATTCACAAAGATATGAATCGGATTAACTATTTACTTAAAGTTCACACCATCCTAACTGACAAATTATTTTGCCAAGAAAGATATAGTGCAATTTTATAATAATGTATTCCAATAAAGATTGGGCATATGGCTTTAAGCGTAAGATGAAGAATGAGTCGGACTATGCGTTCAGACAGACAATGCGGAAAACAAAAAAGGATTTTCCTCTTACCCAATGCCATTTATCACAAAAGTGGGTTTTCATTTAGGTTGGACTGCAGCCTCAACCCAATTACTGTATACATTTTTCTTTTTTTTATTACAAATTCATCTCATTTTACTGTATTTAAGCTTATTTACTTAAAATTAGTTTAATATATTTAAAGTTTATATGAGAAAATCGTTGTTTCACCATTAAGCTTTAGACTATTCACCTCCTACTCCTTTTTGGTAAAATGCTATCTCAATTTTTGTCTAAATATGGATTCATATGAACATCACCGAAAGGTTTCACTTTAACGAATTCATCCCTGTATTATCTCTGGCTTGAACCGTGCCTCGTTTCCGTCATATTTAAGGAGACTTGTATAAACGTCCTTCGTACCGCGTACTATGAAATCGGTGTCAGGCATTCTTCCAACATCGGACCGTTGAATGTGTATCTTATCAAACTCAACACTTGATAATAAAGACAGAGAGCACTATAAAGAGTATATTCTTCGAGATCACTATGGACAGACGATCAAGTTACGAATGCAAGGTCAAGACAACTCTTTACAGCAAAAGAATTCTGTGACACATTTTATTTATGTCTTTTTCCTTCTAATCTATATTTTGAGATTTAATTTGAACTAAAAAGCATAAAGGCTTTGTGAAATCGTTTCGTAAACTATGCATATTGGACAAAAATGAGGTAATTGAATTACCTTAAACAGAAATGCAAAGATTTTCTAATCCTGCCTAAATCATGTGAAGTTTAATCCCTTTACTTTTGTCCTCTTCAAATTGTTTAGAAGCCATCCTTTCATTTTTTAAAATTCCCAGAGTAGGCTTATCTGTTGTTGATGGACCTCTCGAATATTGGCTCATTTCAGTAATAAAGGCTGTAGATAACTCCTATTGCTTCTGTGTAAAGAAACTGGGTTTCGAAAAATTCCTTTAAAGATTGATGTTAAAGTACCTTTCACTTCGTTTGAAGAGGCGAGTGGAACTGATTCGTAATTTGGCTGCATCGGAGGCTGTGAAAGAGTTTACTTGAAGGTATTATTGTAGAATTGTGTGAATAGTTCCTCGGCGCAGCTTCCTACGACCTCGATGAATCCTTGCTGAACTTTCGTCCGTCATTTGATGGACATCGTCAGAGCAGGACGCCATGCCTAACGATAATTCACCCAAACAGGAAAACAAGAAATGTGGCCGGCTTCCAACCGACTTCCTTCTTATACTCCAATTTGGTCCACTTATGCATCTCATGTTTTGAAGTTGCTTGACCAACTTGTTCGCAACTTGGTCATATTGGACGGAGACTGAGAGGAACACACTTTATCCAAAGTTCCATAGAATGCAATATCATTTCCAGAGTCGTATCGTGGACTTGGTACAGCCCAGTGAGCCCAGTCAAATAAAGTGGTACCATCACATTTTGGGGTTGGCAAGAAATAGAATGTCATAGAAAGACGAGAGAAACAAGTTTGCCCATAGCCGAGGTCCATAAAGTAACGGCTTGACGACGAGATTTGCTCGGTGTACATGACGCACAGCGATAAGGGAGTCAAGCTAGGTTGCCATGTCAATTGAGGATCCAGACCTTAGGGGTTTTCTCAGTTAGGCTGGTCTATACGTGCTTTCAAAGGCCTGAGGTAAAGTGTATAACACAACGCCTTGAGTGGCACAGATACAATGGAAGTAATGTATTGAAATCACTGAAATGGGCAGATGAGAGCAGGACTGTAAGGAGCAAGAGAGGACTCTGATATGATCCGAAGAGAGAGGATTGCGGATTAAACGGCAGCCGTGGATCAGCAATCTCGGTACAGTGGAAGGGAGGTGGGAACCAGCTTTATCTGTAGCCACTTAAATTAACTTTTGAGCAAAGATTTGGGCAAAGCAAGAGATATCCAATCCAAACATGAGATGTCTAAGTGTACCGAATTGATATAGAAGAAGGAAGTAGGCTTGAGACCGGCCAGCTTTCTTGTCTTCGTATTTTTGGTGAAATTTTCTTTGACATGCTGTCCTGCTCTGAGGATGTTCGTCACATGTAGGATCTGTTCACACAAATCTACAATCACAGCTCCAGCCTCCGGTGAAGCCAACTTACGAATCCCTTTCACTCGACTCTTCAAACGAAATGAAACGTACTCCGACATGAATCCTATTGCTTTTGTCTTGAAATGCATGCATAAGGTCCATATTTGATGTTGCATTGTGTCTTGCTTATTGCCTTTTCTTTTCATCTACTTTGCGTCAAAGCTTGTCATCGCGGCAGACATCGAGAAAACATGTCTCAAATAATCGCTGACATTGTATTGCTTCATAATCCGCACCGAAATGGATAGCCAATCATTGACAGCTCCAGAGTGCTCATTAATTCCTCATGTTGTTGGTAAGCAAACGAGTCAATGTGACATGAGAGAGATTGCGACCATCCCCTCGGAAAAGTGTAGCATTTCAACTTGACTCGATGCAGGAACCATGTGGATCTTCTCTTGCAGGAGCCGGTATTCGTCTTCTCGTGGCGATAAGCTATTTGCTCCAGATTGCCTCTACCGGCGGTTTCGAGTACGGCCACTGCTATTCGGTGCCAGGATCGCAGGTGACTGGATGCCCTGGCGGGATTCGAGCCAGCAGGTGGGCCGGTCTCGGCTTAAGACAGACCCATCTGCCCTCGGAGCTAGACTACAAACAGACGAGTCAGTGGAATGGTTGCTCCTCGCCAGGCGCCAATTGCACTGGAGCGCTCTCGCTGTTGAGGAGGGCACTGATCACGATGGTCACCGTCGTGACG